TAAATATATAAATATATTTATATAGACTGGGACATACCTAATATATTATATTCATATTTTATACTTTTTTTATTGTAAACAGTATTTTTTTAATTCGATAGAACTATGGTGTGATTTAGGCATATGTGCAACTTATTATACTTCTTGTATAGATTTCAAATTAAGTTTTATTTAGGTAATAAAAAGAAAAAAATCACCTAAATATTTTGAAATCTGAATTGTTTAAATAGGTAGTAAATGAAAATATGAGACATAACAGTGGAATGTAAAATCGAAAAAAAATCAATCTTGACAACATTATATATACCTATAATAGTAATACCTAATATATAGTATTATAGTATATATATAGTATATGGACATTTTAATATTTTAACTGTACAACGTATGCAAAAAAACCTACAATTATTTTATAAGTAATATATTTTGTAAGTTTTTAAAAATTATTTTTTTATTTTTTAGTTATATAATGCGCTAGTCATTGTTTAAAAATGAGATATATTATGTTATACGCAATGTCACCTATCCAATTTTATAGATGTAACGAATTGATCTAACGGAATCTATTTTTAATTACCTTTTGCGATTAAAAAAAAATTATTCTGAACGTTAGAAATAGCTGTTTCGGAAACATACCACAATATTATATTAATTAGTAATTACCTACACTTCATCTGACCRTAGCACAGGTAAAGTAATAAAAGTTTATTGAAAATATGCAGGTGTCTAAATTGGCATTCGTTGTTTCAACGTAACAGTAACCCGGTTTAGTTTTCTTTCTTAAACGTATACGTGGGTGCTTTAAGTGGAAAATCATTAACGTTTTTCTGAGCATGTATATATTATACTGGGCAGATGAACCCAACCAAGTGGAAACGCTGACCATTCACGGTCTGTGGGTCACAACAGCAGAGCTCATGTTTATATATCCTGGTCCATACATTTATGGACACTATTATCATAACTTAAGCGTATAGCTGTATAATATATAATATATTATAATTTACAAGGCATTTCAAATTTACAATTTTATTTCCAGAACGTTAAATAGTAAATATATATAAATATATATAGAACAACTACTATAGATGGATGTTTTTTATATACTTATGCCTTATTTTTTTATATGTTTAAAATTTAAATGTTATATTCGAATTTTGATAGCTGATCTATTAATTATATTGGGCAAACTAGGTATATACCTATTAATTCTGATATAACAATTGGATTTATATGATCTTTTTAAAATAATTAACAACATATCGCCTGCCGCAGCGAAAAGGGTCGTAACTCTATTTTCTCAACTTTTCATGAGGAGCAATACCATAATGGTAATTTAAATTCTAATTCTATTTTAATTTCTAAAATTTTGGTATGCATAATTTTCTACCACAGTACCACTCATTAGCAAACTCGATATTTATTATTATTGCTAATACAGGTATATTGAGGTCCGTCGAGATTTCTTTGGAAAGTTCTTCACATTACCATTACGGCATTACACGTACCTAAAGACTAAAGAGTCATAATATTTTTTTAAATTTATAACGTAGATATAATATTTTATACATTGAAAAATAATTCTAATTTTTTAGTTTTATCTGAAATAACTATTAAACACAAATAATTAAAATCTTCATGCACTACACAATTAAAGACTTTTTTGAAATGTATTTACTGGAAAACTGTTATTAATGTATATTTCGACCACAAATTATATTGGCACTTTAATGGTTATTTATTACTTTTTCAGTTTTTAACAGTAGTAAGCGATTGAAATGATAACATGTYATTATATCAACATCTATGATTAAAAAATAATTTAAGATGAATTATAATTTTACTGAAAAACGTTAATTTACTATATGATTTTTTCTTTGTGTTTTTTTAGGTTAAGGTTGGACGTTAGTTGTTTAGGTTGAAAAATCAAGTAAATGACAACAAATAAAGTAGATGTAATATAGGTACTTATTATAAATAATAAGTTTAAACATTTAAATAACCCAAGGTATTTTCATTTTTTTTAACAATAATATACCTATATGGTATTATGATTATAATATATTAGGTACCTATAAGACTAACAATATATATTTTCGTATTAATTATTATCCAATAATACCTACAATCTACATCTATAGTTATAGCTTATATAATTTATAACAAACCAATAGTTTTTTAAATACATATTGTATAATGTTGACCGTAACTAAAAAACTTTAATTTCAAATTTCTCTATAAAGAAAAATTGTATTGTTATTTATGAATATAGGTAAGATAGTAAGACAGTAGATATATAAACATGTATAATATTATAAAAACAAACTAAGTGAATAAACATTTAAAAATAWTAATAATTAATAAACATATAAATTATATACATCCGTCACATACACTTGAATTTGAATTTTCAATGTAAAGACTGATTTATTGATACATAGCCTATCGTATCGGATGCATTTTAGTCATACTCATCATATTCTGATTRATCATTTTAATTATGGTAATTATTCACTAACTATGATCTACTAAGAAATTCCCAAAGTTGAGACGATCTCAACTTAAAGATTTAACACGATAAACGACGTAATAATGAGCCTGGGTTAACATTAACCAGCAATATTCCTTTGTATAATATTGAATATACTATTATTACCAGTATAATAACATGTTATATAGTCGTATATAGTTATATAGGTTATATACATTATAAATTAAAAATAATATGGAACCTACATTTATAAGCTATATACTGAATTATACTGGTCAGTGGTAATGTTYATTCGGCAGTCAACGGCTTTTAATTTTAATTTTTTTTAACAGAGATCTTTATTCTCGGTAAACAAAATAGATCGAATGTAGTTTTTGACAACATTTTACTAACGGAATATTTGATATCCATATTATGTATCAATAACTAAAACGAAAATATSTAATATATATGCTAATAAGTGTATCTCATAAACCAATTGTYGTTAATTCGTTATATACATCTAGTCTGTTAACAATAATAAGAAATAATGTATCAATCAAAAATTTAATTTAAAAAAAATGTGTATACGTTASGTACTTTATTTCTTGGTACAATTTAAAATTTCAATTTTCATAACCATACAGAACTATATAGATCCATATTATTATTTTTATAAAAGTTTACTGCTATTTTTTTGATTCTGGGCACTGGTAGTTCTTGTTTTTCTGCATGCAACTTTTGATGGTCATATCATTTATTTTGTTTGGTAAGTTATTAAGTACTTACTAGTTAGGTACTTCCTTAAGTAGCTCATTAATATTTAATACTACCCTCTAAGGTTCAGTAAATTCATTMATTATTTCAAACAATTGTAGTTTGAAATAAATATTAATCTGACCATCTGGGTATAATATAGATATATATCGATGTATGTGTGTCCAAAAAATTAAAGTTTTCTTCAAGATTTYCGATTTGGAGTTTATAAAAAGATAATAGTATTAGTATAATATTATATACTATATTTAAATAACTTTGTAATATAGATGATTAGAAAATTAATTTATATTTATAGTAAATTAAATGTAGTAGGTAATAATTATTTAAATTAAAACCATAATACATATTTCCCATAACTGACACTGACGCTTTTAATATACCTATACTAATACTACAGTTTTTAATTTTAGAACTTTTAGCATATAACTATTTTAGTTCGACATTTACTGAATACAAATAACATATAGAATAGACATAAATGTACAATATTAATGAAACATATACTACAATTTATTTATATAAATAATTTATATCCGTATACGAACATTTACGATAACTCACCTGTCGTAAGTAATATAATCCACGGTTTGTCAACTGCAACAAGGCTCCGTGGAATAATATATTATCAACCGCCGGCTGTGCCCGTGTTAAGTTAGAACGATGATATTGATGTATTATTATAATCGACGWATATTGTGTCACTACAGACATCCGCACAAGCACAGGAAGCTGACGAACCAATTGTCGGTGCACTGGAAAAATATCATAATCAACGCGACAGTAAACGTGCGACGGTCGGAAAACGCGTGCGGCGTGAGACTGAGGACATCGAGACCGTGCAGAGTTCGAAATCGGCGGCCGGGGAACGATGATGAACTCGGACGTGTCGGCGAGCCGCGCGCGTGATGTGAACCGGAAAATTCAATTCTCGTCCGTTTTTAGCGGGTCTCCTACTCAAATAGATCGTGACAGCCCGCAGCGCCGCCAATCGTGGTGAGGTGATCAGGGGAATTTCATACGCKTATACCTGTTGGCACTGCGTCTATAATATCATAATCAGCAGCACCATATAATTGTAGAAAAGATATTATTATTTTCACTAAATCGTGAAAAATCAACAGCTTGCTATGATTCCGTGACACAGGATACCTAAAGCCGTGTTCTATTGGTTCTGTGATTATGTCGTGGTGTTTCACCCTCAGATCATAATTTACTAATCTACCAAGGGTTGGAGCCACGGCGAGCAGCGGCCAACGTATACAATATACCTATAAAACACAATCGAAAAAAATTTTGCCCTAATTATATTAGCGACGAGTCTCTGTATTGGGTGTTCGATATTTGTTCTGTGATATTATGCACCATGCGCGGTSCAACACTCGTCGCTTATTTATCCACATGCTACGTTGTTATATTATTTTGAATTTTGATAACAATTAATAATATTGTATAACATTTAGACCACGGCCTTTTCTATCTTTTAACGAACTTTACCCTGAAGGGTAGTAAAATACAAACACGATCTGATTTTACTTGTCGCACAAAGCGCAACTAAAATCCAAATTACACAAAAATATAAAATATATACGCACCGATGTTTTGTCATGGCGCGAAAAATAATAGGCATGGCATAACGAGTAGCATACTTTTTACCCTTCTTTTTACAGTCCTGTAAAAAAATATTCAGTATATTCTATTATTTTATGCGTCGCGGCTGCAATAGCTTGTTGCAGCTGCAATCTGCAGCTGATCGCGAGCCGCGGTTATTATAGATAACTACGTCGTTATCAAAATCCCCAATAGATTGTTATTATTATTATTTAATGTTTATGACTTAAAGAGATGGTATAATTATTAAAATAAAATATCTTTTTTTATGATCATCGCGCTTTAATGTTTTATAAAATTCTACGAATTTCGCGCTATTGTCTATTGACTCCGCTTACTTGCCATCCATGGTCAGTGAGTACAGAGTTTTCAGAGACGCGGGTGAATAACAATAGAMATTTTGGTCGAATCGTAATTTAAAAACGAACGTGACAGTAGGTTATAATTATCGCAAGTATTGTTTGAGAATAGTGTTGTCTCACCATGTCCGGTTCGCTGTCCGCCGTTGTTCCGGCCAAGCCAGACGTACCATAGAGTATTGATTCACTTGATAGGAGACATGAACAACGGTGACGACGAGCTGCATCGACCTGGCACAAGCAGAGGAGTGGTATCTGATCAGAAAGAATCTTCCAGGTAACCAAATGCCGGATATTATAATCTTCAGTATCCATCAAAAAATGTCTTATGGTTTTGTTATAGATTAAACAACAACGTAGCACACAACTATGACGATCTCGATACCGAAAGTTGTCATGATTGTGATACCCCTGAACAACATGACCACATGATAGCTGCTAGTTTAGTACATTGTGATCAGGAAGATAGTGATTCAGATAACGATTCTTGTATTTACACTTACCGTGGTGATCGGCAAGAGCCGGCAGTTGAAAACTTACCCATGGATGATAGAAGTACATCACCTTTGATGGATTACTTAGAGATGGACTTTGAACCTGAACCAACAGTTAATAATGTATCTGAAGACGAAGAGATTACTGAACCGACGGCTAATAGTGCAAAGTATATTTTTATTTTTTTAAGGTGTTTTATATTAAATATCATACGCTTATTTAATTGTGTTTGTATTACATTGAAAGTTAACTGTAAGTAATTTATAATCAATTTTTTTTTCTGTCTCAGTGGTACAATGCTGATAATAAAAGACCTGAAATCTGCTGTAAATCCTAATCGTCGAGAAAGCCAACTTAATGTTAGAAATGCTGTGATGTGTGAACCTAATATTAATCCAAATCTAATCCCTCGATTATCTTTTTCGAATTCAGATGTACCCACTCTACATTTCAAGTCTCTTAATACTAATCTCCCTGTTTGTAAAGAAGAACGTAATGGATGTATGAGACGTAATTCTGATACAACGGTAAATTAAATGTGTAGTGCTTAGTATAAATTCTGTTTTTTCTATAAATGTCAAATATTTTTCATCAGGAGGTATGTCAAAAAATGAAAAGAATGCGTGTTGATGATTTAACTTGGATTAAGGAAATGGTATGGTCGGAAAAAGAGGCAGCTCAACTTCAAGTAAACCAAATTGGTGTATCAGCGTGTGGGGCAACTGCAGTTGTAAATACTTTGGTAAGGGTTAAACTTTTTAACTTTATCATCATTTTATTTTACTATAAAGATATTTTATTGTACTATAAATTAACATACACAATCCAACCAGAAATTTACAAATTATTTTCATCAAATTAAAAATAGTTGGCAACAATCTTAAAAGGAAGTATAAAGAAATACATTTTAGCGAGACCAAATTTTTAAGATATTCTATATATTATTCTGTGGAATAATAAAGCTAAAAAATATAGCGTTATTAAGATTTAAACAAAATTTGACACACAATAAGTATGTTATGTTTAGTTTTTTGTTTTGTTGAGCTACTATTAACTATTAGATATACTATAAATTTATAACTTGTAATTTTAATTATTAGTTACTACTCATTGTATCATTACTGTGAATTATATTATTGTAAATATATTTTAGTTGGCTCTAAGGACACAATTCAATCTAGACCGTATAGTTCAAACTATTGGCACCCGCTTACGTGATGAGACTGCTCCACTTGTTCCCTATTTGGAATCACGAGCTGTAGCTGGTTGCATGCCCCAAGATTTGGTTAGAACATTGGAAACCGTAACAGATTCACAAGTCAGTGCTAGGTTTTTTGCTACTCATCAATATTTGGATTTGCATCTTGCCCCATGGCTTGCCACTTGGATTAAAAAAGGTAATATTGGGCTATATTAGGTATCTAAAAAAATACTAAACATAATTATACTGTAATTTTATATTTTAGGTGCTGTTCCCATTTTGACATTAAATCTCCAACGGGTAGATGTTTCACCTTCTCTTGTGCCAGATAGTTGGCACCATCAAATGGTGTATGGCGTATCATACAACCCCTTATGTCCAGAATTTGCTCAAGTTTACTTAACAAATCCACTGAGCATTTCATGCATGGAGTCGTTACTTCCACAGTTAATTTCTCCATCTTCATTGAAGATCAAAAGAGCTGATATATTGTCCAGGTGGACCCCTCAAACAGATCTCATGTCCTTGGCCACACATCCTAGCCGAAATTGGCATAGGTTTAATGTATTAGGTATGTACACTCTGACAATTTCTGTTTTAGGCATCAATAATAACCTAGTAATTATTGTTTTAGGACAAGTAGTAAACCTTTTACGYGAAGAAAAAGAAAATGTCAAATTCACTGATCATATTGAAATACCAGCCAACTATAAGAGTGGTATAACTTTAGCAATAAAAACATCATCAAATTACTGCCATGAATTGAAATCTGTGCCAGAACTTTAAACTTTAGATAGGTACCAAGCAATAGGTATTCATTTATTATGTTTAAATAATTTTATTTGTATTATGTGTTTTATTGTGTAACCAATATTTGAATATAAAATTTCATGAAAATGTTAAATTAAATATTTTTAAGCCAATTAATGTTACCAACATAAAAAAATATTAGTGTATTACCATATTTTATGTTATAAAAATGGTATGGTTAACTAAGATTGACATACAAATATACATTTTTATTTCTGACATTTAAATGTAAACCAACAAAATGTAATCCTTTCAAGTATAAAAAAATATAATATTAATTACAAACTGAAAGTGAATTGTTAGTTGTTACAAATAAAGCATTAAATTAAGATATAATGTATATAAATATATTGTATGCTACTTTTTGATAAAATATATATATTTAAATTATAAAATTTAATTATTTATGTCAACTATCAGCAATTCTTTAAGTCATCTAGTAATAAGGAAGTACAACAATTGAACAAAGCAATTTTAGTTCTTGTACTCRATTAGAAAATAATTAAATAATTTACTGATATTGTTCCTTACCTTGTTCTTACAATTGAACTATTTTTATTCCTTACATTGAGACTATAAAAGAGAATAAAACAAAAACTTATCATACACCTTTGTTTGAAAAGAACTTACCATTAGTTAGTACAATTATTAATATTAAGTTTAACGCAATAATATATTTTTTTTTGGTTTACAAATTTCAACATTTGCTTATATATTATGTAAATTAATTGAAGTTAATAATGTATACATTTTATTTCTGTGCAATCTTGAAGGTATGCTACTATAATCACTATATTTGATAGTTGTAACTAGGAAACTGAGTAACATGTAAATGCATATTTTTTTAAAACAAGGTAATAATTAAGATTTGATAAGAAATTTTCATGGTTTAAATTATTCTTATTAAAATTATGCTACATATATTTTACATACTTTTACATATTTCTCTAAKTTTTAAATATTTTTAAACATATTTTATCATTTCATCATTCATACGTTTTCAAGCATCAAGCCATGTTGCAGTGAACAAAAACAGCCATTTATCGGTATAAATCCGTAGAGGGGAGGTAAATTGGGAATKTAGTTATATGTATATTATTTGATGAGCCTACTTATTCAATATTACTTAACTGTGAAAAACTTTAAAAATCAAATCATCAGACAATAGCATACATTTTAAATGACTATGAGTTTACTCTGGCTTAGTAGAGTAAAACACGAAAATGTATTTTGTTCGTTAGTGATGCAGCATCTCATATGTTGAAGGCAAAAAAAGCATTAAATATTTTTTATTCAAAACTAATTATGCAAAAATGAAATATTGAAAAATAATTTAATTTTCATCTTAGTGARTTTTATTTTTATTGCACATAAAATTACAAAATTAAAAACAAAAAATATGTCCAAGCTATAGTATGCAAATTGTCAACTCAACATTTGAAAAATTGAAATGCACCAATAGGTGTTGTAAAAAAGAAAATTTACGTTGTTACAGAAAAAAATCAAGACTATATTGATAATAAAACAATTAATAACATATAGAGGGGCAGCCCTTCTTACAAATTTAGAATTATCGTTTTCAGATATTATGCGCTTCAAATATGTTCTAATTACATCGGTTGACTTGGAAGTTGGAATGATCATTAAGAGGTTTTAAAAATATTTCGATACCTAGTAGGCGACATTTAACATTTAAAAGCAATTTTAATTATTCAATACATCAAATCAAGCACATATTTTATAAATTATATTTCTATAATTTTATTACATACAAAAYTGCTCTCTGGTTATAACTTATAAATTTTAATTTATAAATATTGCATTATAACAGATATTAGGTTTTTTATATTATCATTAATTTTAAAGTACATAAACAAGTCATATCATAGGAGTTTTTATGACAACAATAAAGTTTTTTTTTAATTGTTGGTAGGTTTTGTTAGACTATTTGGTGTTATATACAATTATATTTTCTGTAAAATCATATTTTATTATTAATTTACTGAGGCCATTGAATAATAATAAATAGTAATACAGCACATTTTAAAGGTCTAATACTAAAATATCAGTATTAAATTAATTTGAAGTGATTGTATGGAATTTATCAAGTAATAAAAAATAAAATCTGGAAGTGCATAATTTTACTATGGTCTTTATTAATTTTGATATTTTAGGGAATTGAATAATACAATTTATTTACACTAAAATTACTTTTTGGCATAAAAAAAAATGTTTGCCAATTTATGTTTTTTTCAATTACACAATTATAGTTTGGACATTTCTGCTCTCAATTTTTTCAGTATTTCATAATTTGGACCACTCCTAGGCCTTGGGCTTTGATTTCCAGGTTCGTCTAGTTTTTTCTCACAACCATTTCCAACATTTTGATGGCTGTACAGCCTCAATAAAGACCCAAAATACTTAATATGAGGGTGTAACACCTATGAATATATAAAACAATTTGAATATGAATAAAAATAATTAATATTCTTATGAGTAAACCTTTAATAGAGCTTGAGCTCCTTTTTGTCGTCCTTCTCGTTTATTTTTACAAATTACAGTGGCCGAATGTTCCTTAACAGTCATAGTGCAACGGTAAAAAATTTCAGAATCAGATCCACTTTGCATACTTTGCATTTCACACTTTACAGATGCATCTTCACCAAAATTTCTAAAATTTAAATCCAAATAAATAMTAAGACTAAATAATCTAACTTTATATAAATACCTTTTTACACAAATCTGCAACATATCATATGGCATAGATTCAGCAGCTTGAGCACAAAACTCTGGTATTCTTGAGTCTTTAATATTAAGTTTATCAAAAAGCTAAAACACCATAATGTCGTATGAATAAAATGATAAATTAGATATTCGCAAATAACTAATTCTAAATAATTGATATAAAGGTACTTACTACATCTCCGTCAAAATTACTACAACCTTGACGCTCATTCATAGCATGTCTTCGATTAATTTGGATATGATTTTTGACAGATGGTAATAATATTTCTAGTGTAGCTCTAGCTGCATCAAGTTTAGCTTGTTTTTTACTTGAACCAATACCGATACCATATTGCATGCCATCTAAGATCACAGTTGCTAAGTAAGGATACCTGGCATTCTCTWAAATATAACAATTGATCATTAATAGATTAAATTTAATAATTTTAAWAATTTAGTATTTTTAACTAACCAAGTTCTTTAAACTCATAAGATGGCTGTGTTTTGAGAACACGTTGAATGTATTCGTGCAATATACTAACATAGCTTTTACCATTTAAATTTATAGTCCATTGATCTTCAGGATTGGATGTATTACAATCGCTTTTAACTGAAATATAATAATTTAACAAAATTATACAAATAGGGAATTGGATAAAATAAATAAAACAAGTTTATTAAGTTTTTTTATTTTTGAATTTATAGTAGAAATACCAAAATTTCAAAATGTAAGGGATGCATACTTTATATGTGCTGGAGCGTCTTAATTTTGATTATAACATAAATACAATTTAAATTATCAGTTTAGAAACATACTTTTTTTTTCATTTAATTATTAAAAGCTGTTGATTAGTGCTATAAAAAAAATAAAGACACTACAGCAATTAAGTTCTAACCATTGTGTTGTGGAATTTTGGTAATTCCACTATAAATATAGAGATTTGTCTAGCCAAAACAATTTTTGCTGTGTTGTAACGTTTGTAAGACGGAGACTACACATGCAAGTGTAGTTTCCTCTTAAGCAATATAATTTAATATTAATCATAAAACAAAAGTGTTAATAGAAATAATATATTATATGTTGTATTAACTATTGCATAATTGGTTAAACTTAGCTCAAGAAGAATTAACCCTATTGATCTCCTTTCCACATATTATGATAGATTAAATAGTTATGTCAGTAACTTTGTAATATGCATATCTTAAATGTAAGCAAATCGCCAAATGTATGAGGGGTAAAGTTAGGTGGAGTTGGCGGCGGCGAAACAATGAGAAACGATGAAATTCTTTTATCATTGTACACATGGTGGAGGGTGGATGCGCGATTAGTTTCAAATCTGGTAAATTTCAGACAAACTWATTTAGTTTATCATGGCACACATGCAATTAATTACCTAATTTAGATCAAGGTTTCTATTTTACAACAGTAAAACTTGTATATAATCAATATTGTATATTCAATCAGTCAAATAACAAAGAAAAATTTATAATTCAATAGATAAAAGATAAAAAAAACATGTAGAAATTACTACTATAAATACTATTTGATGTTATATAGAGATAGACCTTCAATTGAAAATAAAAACGGTTTTATTATGATTTATATTTATATATATATATATTTATTTATATTTATATATGATTTTATTTTTAGACATTATGTCCATAAGGCACAGATACTTATAATATATTATAAAAGATAAGAAATGTATTTAAAAAAAATTGACCATTAAAAACTCATATACTTTGCCAATATTTTAATGTAAATGATTAATCATAAATTACTCTTAACATAACAAAAATTAAAAACACTAAACACTGAGTACATTGTAGATATTGACAGAATCTAAAAATGTTTTAGGTGTAAGTACACTTTAAAGACCAAATTATACAAAATTCCTGCAAACACTGTTAATAGACATATCATACCTTAAGTTATAACGCTTACAATAAATATTAAAAATAATTATTTTATTTAACTTACCATCTGATTCTTGAACCGGAAACGACATTAAATGAGACTTGTCTTTTAATTTTGGAAGATCTTTACGTCTTCGATCAGCCTTTACCATTCTAATATATTCACGTCGTTTATCCCAAGAACTAAATAAGATAAATAATTTACATTAACAGTCATAGTTTTAGTAAAATAAATTCCATACCTAAATCTCATAAACTTAATATTTTTAAATTTAAATATTTTACTACAATATTCTCGATACTCTTCATGGCTTAATGTTACAGGATATTCTGTAAAAGAATTTAAAAAATCATATAGATAATAGAAGATCCAGTAGCAAAAATAGATATTTAATACAAGCATTACTGTTTAACTCTTCATTACTTTCTGCATTCTTTTTTTGTAATTTTTGTTTATAGGCTAAACAAGGAATATTTGCCACTGGAATATTATGGTTCTATAAAAAAAAATATGCATTTAATTTGTTTATTACAAAAAAAAAAATTATATTAGCTAGTTTATGTTGATCGCTACCTTGAGACTATTCACCCCAAGAAAATATGGCTTTGAAAATGAACAAACTTTCATTTCTTCGTTTAAATAAACAGGCATACCACTGTCATGATTACATTTTATCCATCCTTCTGGTAAATCATCATCAATATTTTCATCTTCATCTAGCTCTACAATATATAAAYATTGATTAAAGTCATAAGAAAAAGTAAATTTCAGAAAGTTTAARTTTACCATATGTTATAGATCGAACCTCAGAAGTTGATTCAGTATTTTGGTTTTCAAGTTTCACTGCTGCATTTTCATTTAAGATTGTAATCTAAATAAAAAATTAATATATTAACAATGGGATGGGTGTACTACTAGATCAAAAAATAAAACATCAAAATATCAGTTAATATACATAATAGCAAAAGAGTAGTATTAATGRAGACAGATGAAGCAGATATGTGTTATGAGAAATTATTAAATCTTTTTTTATAAATATGAACTATGAAAATAATTATTATTTATCAAAGTGTTTCAGTTACCTGCTGCTGATCATCATGTTCTTGTATAATTGACACAGATTCATCATGTTCTTGTGTAATTGACACAGATTCATCATGTATATTTTCTTCTTTGAAATTAGAGGTGTTGGTTTCAGACATCATCAGTAAATGAGATGGATAAAGTACTACCAAAAGTATTTCACAGATTGGCAGTGTTGAATTTGAAACAAGACAATTGCAGCGCACCAAAGTGTCAGCAAATTGATAGTGTAAATGAAAGGTGTCAATACGACAGCGTTAACTAAAATTAGCTGCGATATAAAAATTGTTGCACAGTACAAACGATAGTTGACGCACGACGTACAGACACCTACCTTAAGACTAAGCACACAACAAATCGATACTTAATGTGTTAATATTTTAATGTTATGTTATGAACAGTAGTAACTGTTAAGTAGTGTTAACTGTTAGTAGCAATTAATAAAATAGGTACTAAACTAATCACGTCGGAAAAATTATGGAGGTTGTAATCAGAATTATACAATAGATTTAATAATAACTTATTAACTTATTAAAACACAAGTTATTAGTTATTACAATACCCGGTATCGTGATTCACAACGAAACTCATTAATTCTATTGAGACTATAAAAAAATACTATTATATGATGTCCGTGATTAAGATTTAAGATTATAGACATTGATTATAAAACAATAGTTTTAAAACTAACTTTTAAAATCAATGGTATAAGGCTAATGTCTGAGTAGMGTGTTCATGACTTTAGTTTTTGCGAGACCTGCATTAGTAATTTATAGGTAGTAAGAACTTATTACTTACTAGTTACTTATAAAAAAATATTTTCTTGTAATTGATTGAATATTAATCATTAAATAGTAAATCCTATAGTAAATTACGATATTCACTACACAATACTAACTATATAGTAATGTAATAATTACTCAGCGATATAAAACATAAATTACTGAATGTCGTAACTCGTAGTCTTCGAAGTTGCCAGAGTTTGAAAGTAGTAACTAGTTTTAGTAGTTTTATAGTAAGAGAGTAAGACCTAACCGAGTCGGAAAATTTTAAGTTTTTTATTAAAAAAAAAACTACAATCAAAATAATGAAACATGACCATGGTTAAAGTATTATGATATCATCTGCTTTAGTGTTTTATACCGCGGTTACGAACTATCTGGGACGGCCACCCACTTCATCATAACAAATACTATATTATGTCTATATCTAGACCGTTTCATAAAAGGGAGGGGGGAGGCGGCGAACTTCATACATATGACATATGAGTAATGTATATTATATAAAAATTATTAAAAATTCACCAATTATTATTAGGAGCTTCACCTGATTTAACTTGGGGTATGTAATGTCATTAGGGCATCTGACATGGGCATAATTATAGATACAAAAAACAAAGTATAATTAACAGAGTTACAGTATTAAAATATTTGTGTATATCTATATATTAGATTATTTAAATATAAATTAATGAATATTAACACTCAAAATCAAAATAAATATTATTTTTATTGATTATATGGGTATAGGTAAGTATAGTAAAAAAGTGGAAAAAAATTTGTAAATCAAAAAATTAAATCAATTCTGGGTTTAGATTTGTAGATTTGACAAAGCAATAAATTAGGTATACCTACCTATTACAATATCTAAAAGCACATTGTTATATGAATATTCATAAGTACCGAACCAGTTAAACGTGGTTGTCCCATTTTATTTCTTAACCAAGTTTTCAATCTAATAAGCATAGAAAAGCAAAAAAATAATAATAAAGTTAAGAGCAAAAACAAAAATAATACATTAAAAAGCAATAGAATAGGTAGAAACAAAGAAAATATCAGCGTTCTCATATATTTTTAGGGACGCCCCTGCTATATTGTATATACTATATATAATATGATAGGTATATTGATATATCACAAACGACGATTTAAGATTTACCGGGAGATGGTATTTTGCGCCACTTTTATTACTTGTAATTTGCGCCAAAATATAAAAATATAACATGTATTTTGCGCCACATATACTTATTAACTTTGGTATTTTGCGCCACTAAAGAAAACAAATTAACAAAATGGAATATGTAATTTGCGCCACACTTTCAACTTCAATAGCAGTTGGAATTTACCAGCAGATAAATTTAGCGCGATCATATCGCATAGGATATACAATAATACGTTATGATGCGTCCGACGCGTGTCACATATCGTCTTAATATCGTCGAATTATTTATAATTATGACTGATTTTTATATGTTTTATTYATTAATGACAATTTTGATGTTTAATATGCATGGAGTTTGATWTTTTTTATAATTATAATTATTTATAATTACGAGTTTAATATGACCAGTGTTGAGAATTATCTAGATAAAAAATTACTCATCTATTATCTTATCTAGATAACTATTGTGCCATTTATCTATTGGTTATCTTACATGATAYATTTACTTATCTAGATAAATTTATTTAAATCATAATATTCATTTTTCACGAATTATTCATACATTATTCACTTTTTTTTACTAAAATGGTTCTTACAGAACACTATCCAATCAGTACATGTTATTTATATAATATATAATTGTCATTTTAAATCATACTTTGATAGAAAGTCAACAATGTGATCGACAAAAATAAAAAAATACCTATGCATAGTAATTGCTATAGTAATATACCTACTGGTTAGTGGCCACTTCCTATATGTTATAGTATATATAATAATATTAGAAGTACTGAACTGCAGGATTGCAGGATAATAATACATTAACTTACTTTTATTAAATTACTAAGTAAAGTAGGTAGGTATATTAGACTTGTATTATGTAAAGGTAAACTGAGTGGTGATAATCGAGTTTATTTGAATTTCAATTGTTGAATGTTACATCTTATGTGAAATTTATGTCTGAAATAATGTAAATACAGTTTCTTTAGTTTAATCAGTCTAGGTGCAATGTAGAAATAATATCTTAATAAATTACTATAGAAGTTTTTGATAGCTGCAAAATATGCACTTATTCTGTATGAATGTTTATAAGCTTTATAAAATAATGTCTTATTATTAGTTATTGCTAGGGTAGAGGACTTGTAGCACTAAAAAATCACAAAATATGCACTTAAATATATAAATATATGCACTTTAAAAATAACATGCATTTTAAGATGAATATTGTTTTATTTTTTATTATTTTAATGAATAATATATTTTATTTACATTTTAAGTACAACTTACAATAGTTACAATAAGTTTATTTATTTATGTTTATTTTATGGGTTTTGAAATACTTCAAATTAATGTTTCAACTTCTAAAAAATAATCTACAAAACATTTTAGTTTCAAATATTTAAGGWTAACACACATTTTTACCTTGAAAGTTGATTTAACAATTACATTTTTTTTCAAATTTTCAAACTGAAAACTTTTTCTAAAAATATTATGATCAAAATTTAAAATAACTTTAAATTCAATGTTATTTTGGTTGTTTAAATTAAAACGTCTACGAATAAAATATTGATAAAATGATAAATTATTCAAAATATGCATTTAAAAGTATAAAATGAAAGAAATATGCCCTAAAAACTAAAAGAACTGAATATATGGCCTTAAACTAAAAAAAACTGAAAATATGCATTWATATACAAAATAAAATTTCAATACTAGCTTTGTGAAAGCATGAAACGTATTTGTTTCGTACTCTGCTATTTTTGTGATTGTGTAAAAAAAATATGCAAATGCTACAAGTCCTCTGCCCTAGTTATTATATACCTATTTCTAATATAAAATAGTTAATGTCATGTATAGTATTTTGTATTATAAGTCTTAAGAAGTAATTACCTATAAATTTACAGCTTAAACATAACTCATTGATGGAAAAAGTAAATGAAGCAAGGAAAAGACATGAGGTRTCTAAAACAACAGAGATTCAAACAAAACTGTTTAGTGGTCCAATTTTACTAATTTTTTTTTAAATATAAAATGATTAATATTAAATATTAATCACTAAAATGTTCAAATCACTATAGCCCCCATTCTTATACAGGTAACCATTATCATGGACCTACTATCTTTAGTACACAAAGTTAAATATTTAACTCTAAAACAACTTGTATTAATCTTGATTCTGGTACGTTAACATTTTCAGAAAAGTTATACACTAAAATAATAGTCTACAGTAGAAAGAGGGTTCTCATTTGAAAAATAGAAATTTGTATCTTCATGGTACTATTAAAGTAGTACTTACAACAAATCTCACAAAATTTGAAAAGATGGTCTTAAAGTACCTACCAAGAGTATCAACCTACTTATATTTAAAATTTCAAAAATCATAATTTGAATTATTGCATTATTGAAAAAGATAAAGAGAGTTATTGTACTTATTGAATCACATTTTATATAATGTTTTATACACTATATAGATTGGTGATTTGGTGTTCAACTACATTATTCAAGAAATGAGACCATTAATTACGTGCGAGAAACCAGCGTTTAAACAGTTAATCATAGGCCTTACTGGTTGTGGGCCGAAGGCCAGTTTTTCAGGGTGGTTAGAGGCCCCCGCGTATGTAAAATAACTACGATAATTGACGGCGGATAAACGATACGGGACCGGGTGGCAGTATTGTGCTAAACATTTCCCACCCGTTCCTGGTTTTTTGAACGGGGAAAAAAAAAGGCCTTACTGGTTTAACATCTACAGATTCTGCTTTACTCCCAAACCGAAATTATATATCAAAGAAACTTAACTCAAGCTATACAAATTATATTTCCATGTTGACTTCATTGCTCAATAAACAACAATATATTTGTACTACTRCAGATATATGGAGTACTAATAATAAAAGTTACCTTGGCATGACATGTCACTTCATAGAAGAAATTTCATATACCCGCCATTCCTATGTTTTGGGATGTAAACGAATCAAAGGTGGACATAATTATTTAAACATTGCTGAGGTTAACAATGAAATAACTCAAACGTATCAAATAAGTACTTCAAAAATAACRCATACCATAACTGACAACGCAAGTAATTTTGGTAAAGCGTTTAGGACATTTTCTACCACATTGTGTGAAAAATCAAATAATTACAATATTGGTAATTTATCCAGTGATTCAGATTCTAATACAATTGGTGGAAATTCAGATAGTGAAGATGACGAATGTTCCAAAATTCAGCATGTTGATGTATATCCTTAAATCCTTTGCTTTCTAAAGAATCAAATGAACATTCTGAAGATATTAGTATTTGTCTACCTGATCATATGAAATGTAGTACTCATACCCTAAATTTGATTGCTACAACAGACATAACAAAAATAAGTGACAGATCTTATTTACAAATTTCAAAAGCGACATTTGAAAAACTATTTAAGTTTTGGAATCTAATCAGTAGAAGTACTGCAGCTGCAGATACAGTAAGTGATAAGTGTAATTGTAAATTTCCTGTACCGGTTATTACAAGATGGAACTCTTTGTATGATGCAGCAAAAAAAATATTATTTTACAAAGAAAAGTTGGTTCCAGTCTTTGAAGAACTTAAATTAAATAATTAAAAACAACTGAGTGGCTATTTCTAAAAGAGTATTGTGAAGTTATGGAGCCATTAGAATCTGCACTGGTAATCTACAAGGAGAAAAAAGAAGTTATCTAGGATACGTGGCTCCAACAATTTTATCYATAAGACTTTTATTATTAAACTCAACAAATATAAGAGTTTTTTGTAAGCCATTAAGTTTATACATAATTCAAAATCTTGAAAAACATTTTGATTATTTATTTAACTTAAGCAGTTCCAAGAGTAAAGCATTTATTTTAGCATCAATAAGCCACCCAAAATTTAAAATGAACTGGGTACCAGTAAGATAAAAAAATATGTGCAGAAATATATTTGTCAGTGAATGCAATATAAGTGCTGTTACTAATTCAAGTTCAGATTCTGGTTCATCTAGCGAAAAAAATGGCGAGAGTGATGATGACAAATTTTACAACAATTTACTAGAAAAAGCAGCTTTCCAGAAAATGTAATTGTTGATGATTCAAATGAA